GTGCAGAGAAGTGACCAGGGCTCCAAGGGGGTGGAGCCCATGCCATGGTCACACAGGGTTGATTCTTGTCCCAGGCACACTGGGGCAGGGAAGACACTGGCTCAAGCTGGACTGCCAGGGCGCTGCCCCTCTCTGGGGCTCAGGGAAATGCTCAGCAGAACCACAGCATCAAGAAAATGGAACTGCCACTGCCACCACGCCCAATCCAGCCACTGGTGGAGAAAAGAGCACCTCAACTTGGAGACGGAGTCCTGTACCCAAGCCATGTCTGCCAGGGTCCCAGGAGCAGCAGTTGGGCCCCAAAGTTCGCTCCCAGGCCAGGGAGGCTGCAGATGCCCATCAGGAAACTGCTACCCCTCCCCTCTCCCCGGTTCAAAGGCCCTGGAGGTACCCACTGCCTCTCTTGCAGGCCAACCAGATGGACTCTCAAACCCTGTCCCCCAGCTCTCCAGCCCAAGAAGTCCCCAGCTCCCCTAGCCTGCTCCTTCCAAGGGTCTCTGGGCCAAACTACCTGCTGAGAAGTCACTGCCCCTTCCTTTACCTGAGGTCCCTAAGCACTGCCTCCATGTCCCTCCACCTGCCTGAAGGGACAAGCCCCCTCCTTCCCCCAGAGGTGCACAACTCCCAGGTACACTTTAGAGGAAAATATTTTTAATTAGTTTCCTTTTTTCCCCTTAGTACAAGAGTAACATGAACATTGTGGAAAGATCTGAAAATCAAATAAGAAACAAAAAGTGAAGTTAATACCCAAATGCCTTTTCTCTTTTGTTCATAATATTTAACATTTTCATGACCATCTGTGGAAACAGGAAAAACCAGTAGGATTTCCCAGAACTCTCACAGACCCACCACCCAGAAATGAGCACATTCTCAGTTTCACCCAATAGATGGGCAAACAGAGGCAGAAGCATCTAGAATGTGGGTCTGTCACTAAAACAGGCTGCACTTCATCCACCATCCTTGCAGCTGCTCCCCGTTGAACCAGGGATTGTTTGCACCTTTCCAGAAAGAAAGAACACAGACAAGCCCCCTGATAGCCCACTGTATGACTGCCCCACCGGCCTCGGACCACCCCAACCACTGGACAACAGAGCTGTTTCCCAGAGGCCACTGCAGGAGGCCGCCTGTTGCCTCCTGGATGCAGCCAGCCTCTGGCCCTGGCCTCCCTACTGCTCCTCTGCAGCCACACTTGGTTGTCCTTCCCCTTCTCTGCTGTCCTAACCCACCCTCCTCTTTTCCCCAGGCCAGGGCACTTCTGCCTCACAAGCCCAGCACCCTGGGAACACTGTCTGAGGCCCCCACCTCCAGTGCTGGCCATTAGGCTTCAGGACAGCCATGGCCACCTGGTCTCAGGCTAAGTGCCCAGTCTCACTTCTTCCTATTGGATCTTTCCAGGTGATCTCACCCTCTCCTTCATCTCCATCATCCTTCCATGGGAGAACCCCTGACAGATGTGTCCCAAGCATCTGCCATGTGGGCACCTTCCTGGAGACATTAGCAGATGGTCGGAAGAGGGGCCTGCACTCCCAGGGAGCAGTGGGACAGGTGCCAAGAGCAGGTGCCCACCTCTCCCCTTCCTCAGAAAGTCACCGGGCATACGTAACCACAGCCCCCATGGCCATGGCTAAGGCCACACTCAGGGCCAGGTGAGGCCACTCAGAGGAAGTGAGGCCTTAGCTGAGCCCTGCAGAATAACCAGGGCTCCCTAGTGGGCAAAGGGTTCTGGGAACAGGGTCAACCGTTCAGTCACCCAGAGTTTGAGGAATGCAGAGAAGGCCAGTGTGACAGGACAGAGAGCAGGGGAGGGCAGGGAGCCTAAGGCTGGAGCCCTGGCCGGTCCAGGGGGAAGATCCTGGCTCTGCACCCCCATCCTGGCTCTGCGCCCCCATATGGGGGCCTGGGTGGCTCTGCCAGCCTCTGTGGTCAGGCTCCACGTTCTGCCCAGCAGAGCTATCCAGCCCAGCCCTCCCTGCGGAGCTCAGCACCTTCCCTCGCAGACTGCTCCTTTCTGTGCTCTCCCAGAGACGGCAATGGGCCGGTGTCACCGGGAGCTCCTCCTCTCACTCCATACCAAATTCCTACCTCTACGTCCCTCTCCTGGCTCAGGGTCTTCGACTTCTCTGACTTGGGCCTGGGCACCAGCGCCATCGCTAACAGCATTACTAACCCAGCACACAGTGGCCACCAGAGTTCCCTGCTCCCCAACCACACCCATGCACATGAGCCTGTCCCCTGGCCTTCCCAGCCCGATGATGCCCTGGACTCACTGCATCACACTGACTGTGTAACTGCTGTGTGCCAATGTCTGCTGGGCCCTGGGATCCCCAGCACCGGGCGAATGGCTCATCCCTGCCCTCCTGCGGCTCGCTGAGCAGAGAAGCTTCACATAAATACATACTTTTTGCAGAGAATTAAATGCACTTGGGTTGAGGGTCAAGGCAACATGCAGACTGCTATAGGAGTCCACAGCAAGGGCCCCAGGCTGGCCTCAATACCCTGCACGACCCCACACATCTGTGCTGCCGCCTCCTGCCACCCACTCCTCCACACTGCTGCCACAGTGGCCTCACCAGCCGCCCTGGGCCTATGTCCACCATCCAGGGCCCACTCCTCCCACACAGCCTTCCTGGGCACAGTCCCTAAGTCCAGCACCTGAATCACTGGCTGCCTCCCTCCCTGGCTGGTCCACGTTATTTCCCCACTAAGCTCAAGTTTCTTGAAGGCAGATGGAGATGGACAGAAGAGGGCCCTGCACCCCCAGGGAGCAGTGGGACATCTCCACGTTCCCAAGAGCCTTTTAATGAACGTGTACTTCACACTTGCTGGATTTAGGAAAAATGCAACACCTAACTGGGACCCGTCTTGGGCTCCAAGTCCCCAGCCCTGTGTCCCTTCTGACCAATTCTGCAGGTGTGTACGGTGGTCTCTTTCCCTGACTTCCACACGCAGAGGCAAGAGGGGCACAGCCTGCAAGCCCCCCTTGTTACTGGGATCTCTTTGGCCTAGGGCGATGGGCAGAGCTCACTGCACTCTGAGAGCTTCCTTGGGACCCACTGGCCCTCAAGGGTGAGCAAGCAGTCACCCGTAGTGGGAGGCTCCATGTCCTGCCCCCTAGGCCTGAGGTGCTTCCCCCTGCCATCCTCACAACTCCACTGCCCCTGCTCGTCTGGCGGGAGCCGATGGCACTGCCTCACCTTTCCATGCAGGTGTCCCTGGCACAATCCACCAGCATGGCTCCCACCACCAAGCTTCCTGTGACAGAAGGACAGCAGCACTAGCCTGGCTGCCTCAGCATCTCAAGGACCAGCTCTCTCACCGCCCCTCTTGCCTGCACCTGGGCCCTTGTCCCACCGCTTAGACCCTCCCCTGCGCACCTCAGGAAGCAGCGTGCCCTCCCAAAGCCGTCCCCAGACCTCCAGTCCCACCTGCACTCAGGCCTCTGTTCCTCCAGGACCCTGAAAAGAGGGGCAGGTATGCAGTTAAAAGCTGGCCTGGGAATCAAGATTCCTTCAGGTGGGTGGGCTCGGCGGAGGGTCCTCAGGGGGCCCTCGAGTGAGCAGATCTCAGGGGTCTTCTAAAACACTGGTGTGTCCAGAAGCATCATGAGTCTCCCTCCACCCATTCCCAGCTTCCCCTGGAAGCAGCCCTTAGCAGGACCCTGCCCCAGCTGCCCTTCTCCCTCCCCCCACCTCCTCACCCTCATCATGGGGTCTGGTGTCTGCATCCTTGCCACACTGCTGGATCTCCGATCTTCTTGGGCAGCCCACCCTGCCCAGCCAAGGGCTAGACCAGCACCCTAGTGTGCTCTGGTCCTCCCAGGGGAAGAGGTGTGCCCAGCACCAGCACGAACCCTCTCCCTCTGGCTCAGCAGGAGTGGCGCAAGCTGCACAGGCCAAGAGGTGGGCTCTCCTCCCACACCTCCCAAAACCTGATCTGGACCACTGCTCGGCCCACCCTGTACCCTCTCCCTGGCCACCATTCTGTGCCTGACCTCAGCTGCAGCCTCCCAGACAGGTCCTGCTCCCCTCCCACCTCACCACAGGCCCTTCTCAGGCACAAAACCCAGATTGAACTCCAAGTTCCCAGGCTGGGAGGCAGCCCTGGCCCCTGGCAGCACTGTGGACTTCCCCTGCAGCTGCTCTCGGCTGAGGCCTCCTCTAGCTCAAGAAACCTCTCCATTCCACCTTCCCGCTGTTGCTGCTGCTTTCTTTACAACACACTCCCCCAACAGCATCACTGTTTTTTGATCCAAGGCTGCCATGAACACACAGCCACCACCTATGAAATGACAGGCTCAGAAAGAAGTCAACTGTCCTGGGTTTCCTTGTCCCGTCACCAGCAGCAGGCCTCAGGTTTGGCCTCGCATGTGCTTAAAGGAACCCCTTAAAGGAGGTACAGGTGACCCAGTGCTGAGGCCTCCAGGGCTTGGGGAAAGCAGCTAAGACTGTTCACTCCAGCACTACAGGAACGGGGGGAGGGGGTGGTGGTGGTGGTGGAGGAGGAGGAGGATGAGGAGGAGGAGGAGGAAGGCCACCCCCTTAAGAACTGCAGAGTGTGTCCCAGTGCCATGCCTAGAGGGGCTGCTTCATCAACAGCCACAGCAGACTGGGCACAGCTCAGTGGCAGAGCTCATGTTTTGCAGGCATGAGACCGAGTTCCACCAGAGGACCAAACAGCACCACAACCAGCAGCCGTGACCACAAGCGTTTGCTCTGTGCCAGACCTGGGCTGAGGACTTCACATCCAATGGCTACTTTATAGATGAGGAAGCTGGGATTGAGAGATTTGGTCATCTACCCACAACCTTGTCACTGGGGGTAGGGATGGCAGGATTTGAATCCTGGTTTCTGCTCCAGAGCCTGAATTCCGTGTGTTGCACTGCCAGGGAAATCAACCCAAACTGAAATCCCTCAAGCCCCAGACACAGGGGCCCACAGGAAAGGACCTGATGGGACAGTCATGCAGAAAGGTGGCAGGAAAAGATGGGCCTCACACAGGCAACAGGTGCAAAACAGAGGCTTTAATCCAAACAGCAACAAAAGAGCAGGAGCTACAGGCCCAGGGGGGCACATGGGAACCAGGAGGGTGGTGATCTAACCCTGGGAGGGAGGCAGGCCCCGGGCCTCTCCTGGGAAACTTCATCTGTGACTTCAAAATTCTGTCCCAGCCTCTGCCCAGACCATTAGCTGGTCCTGGTTCAAGCCTTTGGTTGTGCTTCTCGGTGCCCCCTCCCTGAAGGTTCTGTAGACTACACCAGGGAGGGGGCTGTGGAGAAGGGCAGGCCTGGCTGGGCAGGGAAGCCTGTAAGAGTCAGCCCAGGAACAGCCCCAGGAGAGACGTGGCCAGCTGCTGTCAGCACCCCCACCCTTGGGGGCCTGCCAGGCAGCCCTTCCCATGCTCCAGTCAGTGCCTGGGCCTGGGGGCCGTTGCTTACCTCATCCCGTGAGGGGGTGGGAGGATGAGGAGTGTGTGGCTGCAGCCTCTCCAGCCTCCCACACTGGCCACTCAACCTGCTAGAGGAGCAGGGCAGAAGCCCAGGGCTCGGGGGAAGCTGTACAGTGAGGAGGGGGGCAGAGGCAGCCGGGCCCTAGAGGCTGGAGGAATGAATCCAGGTTCTCCACAGACCCAACAGCGAGGCCTCCCGCCCCGCCAACCAGTCTCTCGACACGGCTCCTTGCTGGGGAGAGTTCTGGGAAGACAGGCCACCCAATGAGACGGCTCTCCCGGGTGTCCAGGGCCTACCCAAAGGGCAGCTTCCATAGCTGGGCCAGCCCCGGGGTGGGGTGGGGGGTGGGGGGTGGAGGTATGCAGCTATGGACAGTAAATCTGGCAAAGTCAGGGGCCGGAGCACAGAAAGCCAGGACGGAGCTCTGGGTAAAGGTGCACTCTAGCCCTGGGGCCGCCTGAGGAGTCTGGAAGATCACTGGCTAGAACAGTCAAGGCCTCTCCAACACCCACCCTGCCCACCCCATGGCTGCCTGCCAGCCTCAGCCTCCAACCCATATGCCCTCACTACATGGCTTAGGAGTGACCCACCCCTGCGTGGGGCAGCCACCCCAACCCCTAGAAAGGCCTCACCAAGAGCTGGACCAGACAGCAATGGAAACAGTGCCTCCTCAGCCCCTGCCTCCGAGTGGGACTGGACAGGTAAAGCAGGAGAGGGGCAGGGAGCAGGAGTGGGGGAACAGATCCTGTCCCTTTTTCTTGCCCATCCACCACAGGGGAGGTCAGGAAACTGGCCACACTTTGGTCACTTCTCCCAACTTGGGTCCTTCAGCTTTGGGATCTGAGCCCTCCTCAAGCCCCCACTTACCCACCCACCCAGTCAACAGCCTCTCATCAAACAGAAGAACAGAGGGAGGGGCAGGAGGAGGCGTGCCAGGGTCAGGGAGGGCACAGGAACCCCGGCCTGGATGGCGCTGGTGGCTTGGCCCCTCCTAGCCAGATGTGACAGGATGAATGGGCAGCAGGCTTCCGAACTTGAAGTGCTGGATCACAGGGAACTTCTCCAGGCACTGTGAGGAAAAGAGAGAGCGGAAAGGTAAGGCCACACAGCACCCGGCAGCCAAGATCGGCCACTCAGGTCCCCGGGGAGCTTGGACAGCCACGGAGGCTGGGACAAGCTGCTTCTGGTGTCCCAACAGGACCTAGGAAATGGCCAAGTCAGAGCAGGGCCTTCAAGGAAGGGTGACAGATACTCTCCTGTTCCCTATCATGAGAGTAAGGGGGGGGGGAGGGAGAGGGAGAGGAGGAGCCAGACTGGCCCCAGAGTGGAAGCCAAGAGACGTCACTTGGTCCAGAGGGAAAGCTGGATATGAGACAAAAAGGACCTTCCTAATCATGGGACCTCCCAGCCCAGCACAGGTCCTGGCCGTAGAGGTACGAGAACGTGTGAACATAAGCTTACAGAGCAGCTAGGGCCCATTTTTTCCACTTTTAGGTTCTCTGGACTGAAAAAAGGCATCTTGGCACTTCAGAGTGAGACAATGGGAACCAGCTGACACCCAAAGCAGTTCCCTGCAGCCCTGTGTGGGTACAGGGGCAAGAACACTGGACGCTGACACCCTGAACCCACCCAGCCCAGCCCCTTCACAGAGGTTAACCAATGAGACCTGCCCCAGAGGCTGGCTTAGTGCACAGGCAGCCCAAGCCTAGGCCACAGCCCTGCACTGGCCTCCTGTGCCCCCAGTCCAGCTCAAGTCTCAGGGCAGCAACTCCAGACAGGCAGGCAGGGTCTGCCAGGCTGGTCAGGGCCTCCTCCCACACCTTTGGCCATGGAAACAACCAGTATACTAGGTGCCTCATGGCTGGGCTAGAACAAGACTTACGGCCTCAGAGCGGGTGAGAGCTTCGCTCTGGCTATGGTTTTGACCTCAAGCTAATGCAGAGGGACAATGGGTGCTGGGACTGGACCAACTTCCCTCACCTCAGAAACCAGCTGCAGAAATGGGGGGTTGGGTTGGGTTGGGGGGTCCACAAGTCAGAGGAAAGGAGAGGGACACAAGGCTCAGGTGAGCAGGGTCCCAAGCCACAGCTAGGCCCCTGGTGTGGTTCCTGGAGGAGCAGCAGATCCAAACCAGGGACAAGGCAGCTACCATTATGCTTTGATCATCTGCAAGTGGTGGGAATGTGGAGAGCAGGCCCTGAGATGCCAGAAAAGGTCAAAGGTCAACCTGCCTCCAGCTCTCATGTGAGAACCCACAGGAGAGGCCAGGGCAGAGCAGAGGCCAGAGGCTACTGGGAAGAAGTCAAGGCTCCCAGGCAGGGAGCCTCCAGCAAACCCTTTTCTAGGCACACCAGGCAGCCCTGCCGTGCACCTAGACAGAGAGCTGCCTCAGCTTGTCCCTCACAGGGCTCCCAACACCAGGCCCTTGAAGGTCCCAGCAATTCAAGTAGAGGGAGCGTCTCCTCAGACACAGTGACGACCTCAGAAGAGACAGGCACTACCGCGCAAAGCCCCGGGAAGGCAGGCCAGGCAGGTCCTCCGAATCCTGAGCACCAGCACCAGGCCTGGGCAGGCTCTGTGGCTGCTCAGGAGGCCACTTCCCTCCAGCAGCCAACTGTGGCTCGTGGCCCTGGTCCTGCTAACCTCCTTCTGGACTTCAAAAGTGGTGGATCTCAAAGGTCCCCACTGCCGTATGAGAACTGGGCTGACAAAGTTCCCTGGGCCCTTGGGGACCACAGGTAAGGGTTGCTTGCTGCCAACTCAGAAGTGAGGGGGGGACACTATAAAGCCTGGGCTCTACCCCTCAGAGGAGTCACCTGGCAGCACCCAGGGCAGGGGCAATCCCAGCTCCCAGAGCAGGCAGCCCGGTAGATGTGTCTTGTCACCTATTGCTGCTCCCGTGACTAATCCTGAGTTGGTGGCCATTTTCAGCAGTGTCCTCCCTTGTGTTCAACAACCATAGAAATGCCAGCCACCTTTACCCTTCAACTGTCCTGCTGACGGCCTGCACTGTCTCTGGCCTGCCTTGGGGACCCTGAGCCAAGGTCCCAAACAGGGAAAGAAGGCAGCTACAGCACTGTCTTGACACACAAGTGGGGCAGGCACCCCTACCACCACTGCTGAGACAGTCCCCAGAGGTGGAGAGGGCCAGCACTGTGCTCAAGTTCCCAGCAGAGCTGTCAGAAAGGATAGAGCTGGGACAGAGGATACTGACCCGGGTGTACTCAGGCCGGAAGGAGCCTGGGCAGCCCCAGCAACTGCCTCTCAGATTAGAGAGGTATGTGGGCTGGAACCCAGACACAGGATGTGAAGCCCAGAGGAAGGGGATCCAGGGGGAGGGGCGGAAGGAGAGGTCTGGTCAGCTCTAGCAGCTCGCCATTAACCCCTTCAGGCCAAGCGCAAGGAGACAGGCCAGCTGGAAGCATCTGTGCTACTAAATCACGCTACCCTCTCAACCCCTCCCTGGTCCTGCCGCCACTCATAGATGGAGAAAGCTCTGAGCACCCCCTCACAGGAGGGAAGGAAGACTGACCAGGAGTCAAGACATGGGCAGCCACAGGACAACCACCAAAGGTACTTTGGGGTTCCATGGCTTCAGGTGAGGGACTACAGGTCCAGGTCTTCCTTGGCCAAGGTCAAGCAGCTTCTGCATTAGTGTGCCCAAGACATGGGAGGGCTAGTGGAAGGGGCAGGATGAAAAGGCTGGGAGGGTGGTGCCAAGGAGCTGTGGGCAGGAGGCACCAAGAGAGGGGCAGCACCTCCCAGCAGGGGGAGCTCCAGCACCCGAGGCCCCTCCCAGCCACAGGTTTGAGAGTAGGGACAGTACCTGCCATTGGTCATTAAAATGCCAGTTCCCAGCCTCCCTGCAGATCCCCCACCACTCAGCAGCTTCCAAAAGGGCCTCTGGAGGAGCCCCTTCCCAAGAATGCCTTGTTTCCTGTTACCATAGGGACAGACATTCAGGCTGCCTGAGGGTCCTCTGGGCTCACTGGGCAGACGGGGACTCTGAGGTTCCAGGTGTCACAGGCTAAGAGTTGGAGCAGAACAATGGGGTGGGCGCAGCAGCCTTGGCCCCCACCTGCTTGGTCCCCAGCCCCAGGAACAAACAGCACGGCAGCAGGGGGATGGCGGCAGCCACTCACCTCAGCCTTATACATGCGGATGAGGCCCTGGTTCACCTTGGACCAGGAAGGGACGGCGCTGATGTTCCACAGCTGGTTGGAGTGCTCTGCAAACGGGCCGGTCTTCATCTGGAAAAGAAGACCACCAGCTAAAAGAAAGTCACCCGCAGGCTGGCCCTGTCCCCTGCGGCCTGTGCTCTTTCTTTCACATGTACACACCAGGGCCAGGCCACAGCATTTCTGAGGAGCACACATGCATGCAAGTGCCAGAAGCAGGGGTCCCCTTGGCCTTTGAGGCCCACTGGAAAAATACAACTGCACTTGCCTATACCCCCAGTTATCACTCTTCCTGCAGCAAAAATAAGGGCTGGGTTTCTATCACCTGCCACATCCTGCACCCACAGAAAATGTCATGGCCACACAGATCCTGGTACAGCTCCTACCAGCTCCCTCAAGCCACAGAGTGCCTCTCCAGCAGTGGACTCATTCCCATTCAGATAACAGCAGCAGCAGCTTAGACACCCCCATTCCCTGCCAGGCAGAGCTAGCGGGGCAGAGGAAAGGGGCTGCAGGAGGGCTGTGGTGGGTCTGGCCAAACATAGGCATCCACTGTCCCCTGCATGGCAGACAAGGGAGGGAAGGAATGCGGGGTGCACAGGAGGCAGGGGCACCAGCAGCAGATTCAGGAAAGACAGCCTGGCTGGCAGGAGGGAGGAAGGGATGGCAACCACAGCAGCAAGACTGGCAGGGGACACAGTCTATCCTTTAGCCCAGAAGTCTGACCCTCCAGGAAGGAAGAACACTCACAACTTGGGAGAGGGAAGTGTGTGTGTGTGTGTGGTGGGGAGGGTGTCTGGAGCTATTCTGCACTCCACAGCATGAGGCTTACAACACCATCCCAGCTCCCTCTCCAGGCAGCACTATGCTGGGGAACAGGACTCAGCACTGGGGCCCCAGACTGCAGAGACAGACTGCAAAGCAAAGAGGCTTGAGTCTGGCAAGGAAGCAGCCTTGGACTCTGAGTGGGTGGAAAGTTCCAGATGAAGCTGTGCATGGAGGCTTGAGAGTGGGGGACTGTTCCATGTTCCAAGCAGAAAGGAGAAGCCCTAAGTTCCCTCTGGATGGTGGGGCACAAAGCCCTCAGGAGCACAGAGTGGCACCCCCAACTGAGGACCCACTGGGCAGGCCCCTCACTTCTTCAGGGAGGCTAACTCAGAGAGTCCATCTGTGCCTCAGGCTCAGGCACCAGAGCCTAGCCCACCCTGGTCCCCAGAGGCTCTTCCTGGCCCTTCCCTGCACCTCATAGCATCAGTGCACCCCAGCTGACAGGGCCCATTTGCACAGCTTTATTTCAACTGTCCCACTTGCCAAGATGCCACCCAAGCCTTTCCCAGATGCCCCTTCTCCGGGTTCTCTGCAGGCGTTGGCCCAGCCTGCCTACTCCCAGGCCCTGTGAGCAAACTGCCCAGGAGGCACCCTGGTCTCTGCAAGGCAAAGGCATGCAGATGGACGCAGGGAAGGCGGGCCTTGCCCAGCAGGGGCATGGGCTGCATCCCCAAAGGCCTCTGTGGCCTCATGGCAGAGCCAGAGTGAGGCTGGGCTGTATGGAAAGGCAGACGTCCCCAGGCCTCCAGAGCCCCCAGGTCTGCCTAAGTCCTTCAGAAGGAGACTGCAACTCTGGGAAAGGAAAACAGATGAGGAAGAAAAAAGAAATTGGGGGCGAGGCGACGAAAAAAATTAGCTTATTCTAGCCACAAAGGGAGAAGAGCGCGCGAGAACGAGCAAGCAGGCTGCAGTCCTGCAGTGACCCCAGGGGAATCGTGTGAGTCAGAGCAGCCATATTGAGCAGGAAATTACTCACAGACGCTGCGTTCCTGCCTCTCCACTCCCCAGAGAATCGGCCTTTTGTAAATGGTTCCTCTGTCAGTAACTGAGGGGGATGGGCAGGGGGTGGGGGAGGCTCTGCACAGCGCCTTCCTGTCAGCTCCTTCCCTTCCAGCTGAAATCTGATCCCTCCCTTCCCAAAACTCCAAATTTAGAAGCCAGATTGAAACTGAAATTCTTTTCCTGCCTGCCCTGGGCTCTTAAAGGCGCCAGAGCTTCATTTCCCAAAGCAGAAGAAAAACTCCAGCTCAGGGTCCTTCACTGGGGACGCATTCCAGGGCTATTAGGGCAGCAGAAGACTCAGGAAGAGCAGCCCAATTCCAAGATTCCCAACTTCTTGGTGTTTGGTTTAATCTCCTAGCTGCATCAAACCTTAGGAATTTCCAGGTCTCCAAAACAACATCGCCCCCTTTCTCAGCAAAGAGAACAGGGCCTCCACATAAACCCCCAGGCTCCTGAACCCCAGAGTCTGGGTGCACCAAACCAGGCCACTCACCCACCCACCACACTAAAGTGCAAGAGGGCTCTGAAGTAGAATTAAATACAAGTGTGAGGCTACCCAGCAGGTTCTGAGGCACAAGTCCCCCAGAATCCACTGCTTAACACCATGTATTTCAGTGAGTCTCGACCCCCTGAAAACCAGCCCTTGCAGAGAAGGTGCAAAACAGCCCCAAACTGCCCCCAGCTCCCACATTTCCCTCAAATAAATATTACCAAATTCACCCAGAGTTCAGTGTGCCTTTAGCGCCACCTACTGGCTACAGTTCAAGAAAGGTTTTGGGGTTTTTATACCACCATAACCAACTAAACAAACAAAAATTGCAAAGTTTTAGCATGGAATCAATTCTCATAGTCCCTGAAGCTCCCACAACATTCCTCCTTCTCAGAATTACTGACAGGGATCTAGGAGCATGGCACAGCCACCAGAGGGAACCAGACAGCTTAGCCTTTGGGCCTCAAGGCCAGTGGGGTATGGATCTGCACCCCCAGCTTCCCACCTGCTCTTCTCGTCCCAGAGCCTCCCAGGGCTCTGCAGACCCCAACACTGCACTCCCATGAAAGCAGTGCATGATCGGCTTTCAAGGCAGAGAGCCAGACTGCTCGAGTCCTTCCGACCTTGGGCCAACTACACTGCTGAAGGCAGCAGATCTCCAAAAGCAAAGCAGTAGCCATCCAGCCGTCAGTCCCAGCTCCATTTGCTGACTTGGAAAAAATGTGTCATTCCCCTTTGGCCTCTGGAGTTTGGCAGAAGCCTGAGCCGAATGTTGACCAGGAGGGGGGGGTGAGCTCTAGACTGCTAACCATGTTTTTCCCTGCCAAGGAGGCAGCCCCCTAGGGTGGGAGTGCACAGGCACCAGGGGGCAGACAAGCATGTGGCTTTAGGGAAGAGATAAGAGCCACCTCTAGACAGCAGAGTTAGGGCACCCTTTGCAAATTCAGGGATTGGGGGTTGCAGGCACAGGGTGGAGACATGGAGTCTCCACACCTCCTGGAAGCAAGGCCTTAAGGGCCCTGGGCCCCAGGATTTCCTTGCAGTCAGGTGTCCAAATACAGCTCTTGGTGCTTGTCCCCTGAGGTTCTGGTTCAAAAAGCTAAGGCGAGGCCTAGGGATTCCGTAGAACCCCCCACCCATGGGGGTTCACACCTAGGGAGACAAGAGCTTGTAGTCAGAGCCCTTGACAGGTGGGTTGGGCCCAGCGACTGCCACCAAAGGCTGCTCATTTTCACTTCTAACAGTTCACTCAGGTGCATGTCCTCAGGGACTAAGATATGTCCCTTTAGGTGAAAAGCTGTCCACTCCAGGTCACTCTAGACCTCCATTCCTACAATGGCTCTGCAGACTTTGGAGACCCTACCTGGAAGATGCTGGCCCTCCCCCCACAATGCCCACCACCTCTTCAGACCAACTGCACAGGTCGCCAAGTCTAGCTAGTAATTGAGTCTTAGATCAAGAGTCCTGCAGTGTCCAGAAGGCTGGTTAGCCCCTTCAGGAAAGGCAGAACGGACTTTCTCTTTCAATTCCCACTTTTAGTGCCACCCTGCCACCTTTGGTAGCCCACCCTGGGCTGCTCTGAGCCATCCCAAAGCCCTGGTTCCCCTAAGCTGGAGGCTGTTTCCCCGCTGCCCGTTCCTCTCACCTCAGTGATAAACAGGATACACTCCAGGAACATATAGTCCTTGTGGTTCTCGTTCACAGCCTTCTCGTCCACAAAGTGCCTGGGCTCCAGGTACGGGTGGTCTGGGAAGAGCAGAGCCCTGGGGGTCAGAACAGGCCCTCAAGCCACCTGGGTTCCCCAGCCCAGCACTCTCCAGGGCCAGTTTTGCCTGCAATGTCCTCAACACTTGACCTCGCAAGAGCAATAAATGGCCCTCTCTGTGTGTCCAGTTGTGCATCACATGGTGATGCTCAGTCAATGAGGGACCATGCCCAGGAGTAATCCTCCTGCAAGATGATCATGGAAGGGCTGGGGTACTGCATGTGGCAGCAGGCATGGTATACTGGGTTCAAAACCCAGCACTGAGACAGAAACGGGGGGGGGGGGGGGAGGGGGGGGGGGGGGGGAGGGAGGGAGGGAGGGAGAGAGAGAGAGAGAGAGAGAGAATGTGTGTGTGTGTGTGTGTGTGTAATGGAACTCAAACATTCCCATCAGCTAGTGATGCAGCCATCATGATGCCACAGTATGGAGCAGAACTTGTCACTCTCAAGGTCATGGTGATGCTGGTGCAACAAACCTGCTGCTTTACCAGTCACAGAAAACATAACACTCACACTTAGGTACTATACATAACACTTGATCATGATAATATTAACGACTGCTACTGCTTTTCGTTTTTACTATACTATACTTTTTATCATTTTAAGAGTATACTCTTATGTACAAAAAAGTACCATAAAACTGTTTTGGAACACCTCTTTATATATTATTTATATACATATTTTTTAAACTTTAGGTAGACACAATATCTGTTTTTATGTGGTGCTTAGGATGGAACCCAGTGCCTCGCGCATGCCAAATGAGCGCCCTACCACTTGAGCCCCAGCCCCAGCCCCTGGAACGCCTCATCTTTATGGCCACCGGCCTGTTGCAGGAGACAGCTAAGTACGGCTCAGCTGTCTCAGGCGGCGCAGGAAGCACAGGATGCTGGCACAATGAGACCACCTGAAAACACGCTTCTCAAACTGTGTCCACCATGAAGTGACCTGACTGTGTTCTCAGGCACTCAGATGGCTGTCTCTCTCTAGCTGTGACCCTGGATGAAGGAGGTAAGCCCTGTTTCCTCACCTGGGCGATGAAGATGAACAGTGGCCCCTCGGGATGTTGAGGACCACATGACAAAAATCACCACATAGCACTCAGCACCATGCCTGGCCTTATGCGGGCAAAGACCCTTCACTGGGTGACCCTCCATTGGGTCACTGAGAAGATTGTGGGGTCAGGGAGCTAGGCACTGAGGGCAGCACCTCACACAGAGAGGGTCCTCTACGAACAAGCACCCAAGTATCACCTTGTAGGCAGTTCCCTGCCTACATTAAAATAGAGATGAACCGAGTGCAGATGAACCCCAGTGGTGTACGCCTATAATCTCAGTGGCTTGGGAGGCTGAGGCCGGAGGATTATAAGTTCAAAGTCAGCCTCAGCAACTCAGTAAGCCCTGTCTCAAAATAAAATATAAAAAGGACTGGGGGTGTGGCTCAGTGGTTATGTGCCCTGGGTTCAATCCCAGTACTAAAAAAATAAAAAAATAATAGAGACTATGACACACACCCCCAGCCCACTGGTGGATCCTGAGCGACTGACCACGTCTGGAGAATAGTTTCACAGTGGGGCATTACAGAGCAGGCCTGTCCAAGCCCCACAGGAAGCAGCCTACACCCCAGCATGGCAGCAGTTCCCTGATGGGCCCCAGCACACAGCTTGATAATAAGTGGATGACGTTGGTCATCAAATCGAAAGAGCCCCTCGTTTTCAACATAAAATCCTGCAGTTGCTGCCAGGAGCAAGGTGCATTTCACACAGTCCATTATGCATCCTTGCTCCAGCCCATGTCACTTTCCATTATCTTGGTGGCACTTGGCCTCCACCTCCCCCGGCCAGCCACACGGGCTCACAGCAGAAGGTCGACAGCAAACAGTCTTCATCAATAGCGGGTCTAATGCCCGGCTTTACAAGCTGTCACTGTCTGCCCTGGGCAGGAAGGAGGGAAGGGAGGAGGGGCACACGGAAGGCACCCAGGGTCCAGGCAAAAGGATGGGCGCCCCCTCCGTTACCTATTAGCTGTGAACTGCCCCAGATGAAGGGCAGAAACTGGAAATCATCCAGGCCCCACACACCCTGGCTGCCAGCCGGTTCCATCCGGTATGTTTTCTGGAGCTTCCTCATAACCTCCAGGTACCTGCATGGGAAATGGGGGTGAAAAGTGAGTACAGTCTTCACCCCTCAGCCCCTGCCTCCAGAAGAAGGCAGCCAAGAACCACGGAAGGGCGTAGTGGACAAAGGCAGGAGGCCCAGCCAGCACCTCTGAACCACGTCACTCTGTCCCCCCACTCAAGTCTTCTTTCTGCAGGAAAAAGGACAAAACACCGACTAGGAAACTGGATTTTGTTGCCATCAACTACAGCAAGTGAGACCTCAGGCAAGAACCTCCACTTCTCCAACCTCCAGGTGCTGTCGAGAGGTTGGCGGGAGTCTAAGAGATCATCTCCTTGGTCCTCTCAGCTCCAACCTCCCACTTTGTCAGAATGGGGCTTCTGTAGGCCGCACCACCCGTGGGCCTGTGCACTGGCATGGCGGAATGCACCCAGGAGCGAAGGCTCTGTGCACAAGGCACTGCCCAGTGGGCTGCCTGGCTTCAGGGGCTGAGGCATCTCAGTGGAGACCGTCTCCTTCTCTGTGAAAGAAAGGGGACGCCTGCACTTCAAAGGGCTGTCACGGGACTCTGTGAGCTGAGCAGGACTCAGGACGGTGCCTCACAGGCCTAGCACCAGGAGCATAGCTCACGACACTTCCTTCTCTGGCCTTCATTTGAGGCCACAACCGGTGAACAAGGAGTTGTGGACGTCCACAGCCAGGGCTCAGTTAGGACAGGACGAGGGTTATAGGCACTAAAGACCCTCTGGCACCCCACCCCAGGACAAGAGACCCCCTTGGCTCCCAACCTCAGCAGCACCTCTCCTGCCCCTGTTCCCCCTTACCGATTGAACACCTTGAAGACAATAGCTATCTGGTCGTCCACCCGGAGCACCCCGATCTTGCAGAGACAGCAGAGGAAGGCAGCAAAGGCCGCCTCGTGCCCTAGGGGAGAAGAAACAGCCAAGTGGACAGTCTTCCAGGAGAAAGTCTGGGCTGCTCCTGACCTGCTAGAGGCCAGCGAGGAGGTAACAAGCCCTCTCTCCTACCCAGGAGGACCTGGGCCTTTCCAAAACATCCATAAGAGTTCCCCAAAGGGCCAGGCTAGTTTTTTTTTTGTCTTTTTTGATACAAGGATTGAACTAAGGGAAACCTCACCAGTGAGCCATAACCCCAGCCCTTTTTGTTTTCTACTTTGAAAAAGTGTTTTGCTAAGTTGCTTACAGCCTTGCTAAATTGCTCAAACTTGCAAACCTCCTGCCTCAGCCTCCCAAGTGGCTGGGATGACAGGCGTGAGTCACTATACCTAGCCAGGCTATTAGCTTCTTAAAAAGACATGTACCTGCTGGGCACGGTGGCTCATGCCTGTCATCCCAGCCACTGGGGAGGCTGAAACAAGAGGACTGCAAATTCAAAGCAAGCCTCAGCAATGGCAAGGCACTAAGCAACTCAGTGAGACTCTGTCTCTAAATAAAATACAAAATAGGGCTGAGGATGAGGCTCAGTGGTCAAGTGCCCCTGAGTTCAATCCCCAGTACCTAAAAAAAAAAGGGGGGGGGGATGCACATTTTATGGTTTTACTCATTCAGCAAGCCTACCCAATTTACTGAGCACCTACTATTTTTGTAGTCATTGTCCATGTCAGGTACTAGGGAGACAGTAACAAATGAGAACACGGGTAGGAGGCAAGAGGCACCAGGGAGTGGGGCCAGATGCTGCTAGGGGCACAGAGGCTCTTTCATCTGACAAAGCTTCTGTAAGCAGTTGCCTTGAGGTATAGTAAGTGCTCAATCAATTATTATTCGAGTGATGATAAGGAGCTCACAGAGACTATCTTTACAAAACCAGAAATCAGCTCTGAGTAGCCACCATGCATGTGGCATTGGCTCCCCCTGGTGGCCCAATCCAGAGCTGCAGCATTAGGCTGCCCACACACACCTCCCCAAAACAAGGGCATCCAAGCAGGCCCCAGTAGGTTGTGAGGGCTGGAGGAACTGCTGCCAGCTCGGAGGGCCATGAAACAATCCCCAGCAAGAAGAAAGCTGCGAGGCCACACCCGCACAGACCCCACAAGCAGCAGATACCTGTGCCGTAGTCAATGCGCGTGGAGTTCCCCACAGACTCCTTCAGGTAGACAGCCACTTCAGGCACGGCTGCGGCCAGCTGAGGGGGCACGACTGTGGATACCAAGTTTTCTGCTTCCTGATAGCACAAGAGACACAAAGAGAGGGCAGCAGGTCAGGTAGTATGTGGGGCAGCACCTGGCTGGGACCCAGGCTGCCATGTAGGCTGGCCCTGTGCCCTGATCCGAGTGCCTCAGAAGGAGGGACACTTACTTTTTACAGCAGAAAGAATACCCTGAGGTGACCTATCACCTGCTGACCTTCTCCCAGGGCACAGGGGTCTGAGGCCAGGACGGAGAATCTACTCTCCTTCTGGTAACTCACTGGGAGCCCAGAAGGACTCTGGGAGGCCAGGGCTACTGTCCCCATAGTCAACATCCTCCACACTCCAGGGCAGCAAGAGCCTGTGCCATAAATATGCCAAAGAAACACAAAAGAATGTGCCAAGCAGCATTATTCTCCCCGATGGAGAGCCCAAATACTCTACAGTTTGACATGGTGATGAGTGTAATGGTAAGAACATAGGTCATGATCCATCTGGCTGGCCAGGTGCAGTGGCGCACATCTGTAATCCCAGCAGCTGGGGAGGCTGAGGAAGGAGAACTGCAACTTAGCAAGGCCATTTCTCAAAAAATTAAAAAAGGGCTGGGGAAAGGGCTCAGGGACAAAGCGCCGCAGGTGCAATCCCAATACCAAGCAAACACTTTAGATGGGCTGCTCAGGTCTCTCTCCACCCCTCCCCACCCTCAGAAGAAGTCTTGCTGGAAGAGCCTCCTGTGCACTGTCCAGGGTGCTCCTCACGCAAATGCAAGCAACACAGACATGGACTTTATTTCCTCTTTCTCACCATCTGCACCACTACACGGGCTCTTCCTTCACTTGACATTAAGTCACAGATTCCCTTCCAATGAGCTCCCTGCACAGTGTCCTTATTCTTCTTTATAGCTGCATGGTACTCCATGGTGTGGGTGGCCCAGTATTGGATACATCTCGATGGGTACTTGGGATATTTCCTATCTGCTGCCAATACCAACATAACTTAACAAGCAGCCTCCTGGCTGGGTATTTAGCTCAGTGGTAGAGCACTAACTCAGCAATTAGGAGATCCTGGGTTCCATCCCTAGCACCACAAAAAAACAAATAATTAAGTAAAAAAGTAAGCTTGTTCATGAGATCATGTAACCACAGTAGCAGTTCCCAGAACATATCTGGGACATACGGTAAACACATTTGCAATTTGAGAAATGGAACTGCCATTTTAACAAATTCCCTATGACTTTTATGTGCCCGAAAACTTGAAATGCCTGCTCCACACACGTAGGCCCTTCTCCCTCCAGTGCCAGAACCAGCCTCCCACCGGCCCACCCCACGTCTGTGCTGTGGCAGCCTTACCTCATCGAGCTTGGCATACCAGGTCCTGTAGGCCTTGTTCCCAAATCGAGAGGGCTGGTCCACCGGAGGGGTCTCATCAATCCACCTGTCGAGTGTGTTGAGAAGGGCCACCAGCTTCTCAATGGCCTGCACGGTGAAAGAGAGGTACCAAGTCAGTGACCTGTGGCCCTAGGCCAGAGCAACCGAGGGAAGTCCCAACTGCTGCTAGATGGTGACACCTCACCATGGCACCTTCTGATCATCCTCCTTGCTGACCCCCTTTCTTCCCAACTATCCTGAAGATGAAGGAGGGTCATGGGTGCAAGGGGCAGTGGAGCTTTAGAGAGGGACCAGCACTAGGCCAATGGGAAGGAATGGATGGTTCAGCACTCTTTCTATGGAGGGCTGCTGGACAAGCACAAGTCCGGCCCTGAGCTTTGCTAAAATATAGTTTATTGTGGCCTTCCATAAGGACACCTTCCCTCCCAGAATACAGAAGTGTGAAAGGAAGGAAATGAAAGTGGGGAGTGGCCTGCCATTCACAAACGATCCACATCTCAACATGCCCTCTGCTCTTTTTTTTTCAAATGTATTTTTTAGTTGTCAATGTGCCTTTATTTTATTTATATGTGGTGCTGAGAATCGAAACCCAGTGCCTCACACATGCTAAGCAAGTGCTCTACCCCTGAGCCCCAGCCTATCCCCCTCTGCTCTTTTTATACTTTGTCTTTTCCCATGTTTAGCACGAACTCTGATGGCAGATGGGCCTGTATTCAAATCTTAGCCAAAACACTACTGAGCTGCTGCAACTATAGTTGTGAGCCTCCATTTCTTCATCTCAAGTCCAGGAACAAGTGTTCCTACGGTGCACAGTGCCCACACAGGGTGGCGGGGTGACTGATGCACATGTGGACTTGAGACCCAGAGGAACCTCTTCCCACATCAGCACAAATTGAATGTTATGATGCCCCTACTGAGTGGGCACATCCCACTGCACAGGGCATGGCAATTGATCTGGCAATTCCTTGCTACTAAATGTCTGGGCCGTTTCCAATTGTTTCACACCACAGACCACACTATGGTGAACGATCTTCGACTCAACCTCCATGGAAATGCTGGACCATCACATGCAACGCCCACCTCAACACCTTTCCTTCAAAAGATAGGGACCAGGGAGTGGAAACGGTGCCACGGAGACGGGAGGCATGAGTGCACAAACATCACTCAGAAAAGAAATCTGGGCAGCTAGAGACTGTGGCTTGGAGGAGCTGGCCAGAACTGAAGGCAGGAGGGAGAGAGCACACAAAGGCAATCCCAAGCCAGGCAGATCCTACCTGTGTCTGCAGGAACGAATGGCATCAGGAGAAACCTCAAGGAAACCCTGGCAATAGCTAGGAACCAGCAGGGCAATGCCCACAGAAAAACCAGTGTCTTAAAGGCAAAGTCAGTTTGCAGCTGTGTGCAGGGCTGCTATTGTGAGTGGAGATGCCAACGGCTATTGTCTCCCTGTAGTGGGGGGACTTTGGCCAATGAAATACGGGCTAGTCTGCAGCCCCAGCTGTGTCCAGTCAGGAAGCACCAACCACGATACAGGCAATGTGCCGGGCTGTGCAGCCCGTTCCCCTCAGCTCCCTTGTATCTGTTCTCGGCACATGGGGGAAAGGAAGAGAACTCTCCCTTTAATACCTGGCTGAGGCAGATTGCTAGGGTGGCATAAAGCTGCCTTGCTGAACCATGACAGCAAATGCTGCCACAGCCTGGCTTTGTGAAGAACCAGGTCACCAGGAACTGCTCATGAGCACAGCCCAAACCAGACCCCATGCGGCAACCAGGGCTCAAGAAGGGTGATAAAGGAAGCCTGGCTCCAGGAAGCACAGCCTCCCTGGAGGTCCCTCCAGGCCCCGGCTTCCCTGGGCACTGAAGGAGACCAAGGCGTGGCTCCAGGAAGCAGGAGCCAGGCCCCAGCTGCCAGTTCAGCTGGGTCAATGAATGATTAAAAGGTTCCCAGCTCCTCTTCCTGGAGAGGGCTTTTTAAATGCAGAAGCTGCCTCCACAGCGTAGTCTGTGGAGGGAAGAGTGAAGGAGGTGGGGGACTATGAGCTGGATTCCCTTTGAAGCACCAAGAATAACCTGAGGGCCCTCCTTCTGCCTGGAGCAGGGCTTCCTTTATGGATTTCATGGACCAGGAAAACCTCCCCTAAAACTCTTATCAGCAGCCATCATCTCATCGTGCCCCCTTAGCATGTTAGAAAAACAAACAACAAAAATAAACCTCCTATCCACTATCACCTTTATTTTAGAAAAATAAAAAAAATAATAACTCCCAAAGAGTAGGACAGGCATCTAAAATAAAATCTATCTTTTAAATCTAAAGTACAATCTAAATCTAATATAAAAGCTTCTAATCACAGGCTGACACCCAGGCTGTTCTCGGCTTCAGTGTGCGGAAGCTGTAGCCAGGTCATTCTGCCTGTGCTGGAGCAGCAGCCACCATCTGTGAGGAAGGAGCCAGAGCTGAGAGGACGAGGCAGCTCAGCAGTTGCGCAGGGCAGGTGGAAGGAGGAGAGGCCACAAGCCATGCACAGTTCCTCTGCTACCCTGCAGGCTGGGGGCAGAAGCCGAGAGACCGCTGGAGACCAAATTAGTCATCTCTGCTCAGAGCCAGGCCAGCACTGGGATGAACCCAGGTCAGAAAGACCCCAGATGAAGCAATAGCATAAACATTAGTACCCAGTAAAACCTATCGAGAACACTAGCAAGAGAGCAGCAAGGGCCTGTAGTCCGTGTCAGGCACGGTAGGTGGGGAAAAACCCTGCACGAGATTTCAGGGGCCCCTCCCTGGGGTCATACACACATACATCTGTTGTCTCTTCTCACCATACAGATGAGGACACCAAGAATCAAAAAGGGCAAGGTCACTAGGTTTGGAAGTGGTGCAATAGCAATCCCTGTTAGCCTGACTCCAGAACCCCAGCACATAAACAATGCCACATCCTGCCAAAAGAACAGCTCTTACATTAAGACAATGCCTGGCGTGGTGGCCGTTTCCCACATACCCTCAGGAGCAGCTGAGGAACCAGAAAGGGATTGATTGGGAGCTAAGTATCTGCTGGGGTAATTATGACATTCCCCTTTAATTAGCCCCTCCATATTCCTGGCCCACTGAGCAAGATGAGCAACTTCCCCACAGGCTCAAGGAGGAACCTTTTCTCCTGCCAGTCACCTGTGCCCTGAGCCACAGCCCAGGAAGAACCAACCTAAAAGCCACTGGTGGGCTGGCTCCCAAAGGAAGGCTACCTATTTGCACCCAGCACAGGCCTAGCTCCCCCAAGAGGACAGGAACAAGTCCTGGGCCACTGAGTAGCTAGAGAGGGCCCAAGAAGAGGTACTCCACCAGGGACATGGTATGAGGGCCGAGTGGGCAATGTCAGCCTTGGAAGGTGAAGAAACTGGGCCAGGGCAAGCCAGCCCTTACCCAACAGGCCCCAGGCTACGGCTGGGTAGGCCAAAGCATTGAGAGAGGACATTAGGCTCTGGTGGCAGAGATAAGAGGTTCACAGTGGCTCTAGGCCAACTAGAACATGAACTCAAGAGGCCACTGAAGGCCTAGGACGTAGCCCTGGTAGATGGCACTGCCACAGTGAACAGTCTGCAAAATACGCCCTCCCACAGGTTCTGTCTGCCCACAGTTCCTGACCAGCCCGAACAAACAAATCTGCCTGTGGAACCACCAGAAAGCACCACTGAGCAGTGCAAACCAAACACCAACCAAACAACTGCATTTGACCTCTGCTTCACATTTCCCCTTCTAAGAATGAAACCTCAGGAAATTGGCCCACAGGTCTGTGTGTCAGCTGTGATCAGAGCAGCAGTGTCCAGGGACACAACCTTAACCCTCAAGTCAGGGCTGTTTAAATAAACAAGGGCTGGGCGGATGAGGCAGTCACTCAGTGGCAGTGCCTAGAGGTGTGCCAAGAGGCACTGAGGGAAAGGTCAGCTTTTTTGATAGGGTTACACACATTTCAATAAGTGATCTCTCCAGGGAGCACATTTACTTCTTTTGTCCTTTATTTTAGTTTCAAAAGTTATATTAAAATGCCAGGTAATCCCTGGGGTTCAATTTCCAGGACCAAAACCAGCAAAAATGCAGGTATAAACTGGACGAAGAATTACAGGTGAGGCGGTCACACCTGTGATCCCAGTGGCTTGGGAGGTGAGGCAGGAGAACTTTTGAGTTCAAAGCCAAAACCTCAGCACCTTAGCAGGGCCCTAAGCAACTTAGCAAGGCCTTGTCTCAAAATAAAAAATAAAAAGGGCTGGGATATAGCTCAGTGGTAAAGTGCCCCTGGTTCAATCCCTGCTACCAAAACAAAACAAAACAAATCTGTGTATTGGCCTTGATTCCAGTTATAAATTTTCATCTCCTCAGACATAAAATGTTAGAGCTATGGACAGCAGAACAAACCACGTATCTGGCGAGCAGCCAGGGTGGCACAGCAGTAGGCTCCGCCTACCTCAGAGACTCTGTACTCAAAGGTCAGCTTCTTCCCCTTCACGCCTTCGTTGAGGGTGAGGATGAATCCAATGTAGTCAGCGTAGGCCTAGCAAACAGAGGAGAGGGCGTCAGACCCCACCTCCACCCACACTGCTCTGGCTCCCAAACCCATGGGAGGGCTCAACACATAATGTCACATACTCAGTAAAGCTGGCAGTTCCCAAGTACAATGACACCTGGTTCTAGTTATGTTCACTGAATGCTTGCTGTCGATGCCAGTGGCTTTCCTGCACAACACCACCATGAGGGGGACACTACTGCTGTCCCCACTTCACAGATGAGGAAACCAAGACTTCCAGTGGAGGAGTGCTTTGCCCAAGATGTTCCAGGACCAAGACCTCACCAGAGCCAGCCAGCCCAACTCCATAGCAGAGTACCTGGGTGCCTGACCACTGTGCTACACTCTAGGACTCCAGGGAAGACCTCCAAGGGTCCTTCCCCATCATCTTCCAGATGTCCTCCTGCTGCACACAAGCCAGGGTGTCTGGCTGCAGTGCAGAGGCTCTGCTTCCAGGAGCTGTGTTCTGCCTACAGCCAGGTCCCTGGCACATGCAACCCCAGCTTCCCGCTGGACCCCTCCTCAGAGCCAGGCTGGAATGCACATGGGAACCAGACATTCCTACACCAGACACTCCTGTCAGCTCATACCAGCTGATGAGATGAGCTGGGTGCAAAAGAGTTGGCTGTATCTATAACTATGAAAGCGGTGAAGAAGCCTCTCAAACACGAAAATAACTTTTTCTCAACTGCTGAGGTTAGGGATGGCTCTGAGACCTCAGGTATCAGCTCCCATGCTAGAAGGCAAGGGGAGCAAGGGAGGTAAGAGGCAAGAGAGCAGGCACACCCTGAACCCCTCTATTTATTGGGGAAAGGACATTGGATAGAAAGTTCTACCCAAATAAGAGATTGGGTTTCAAAGGGTGGAGACTTGCTCGGTGATGTCTTGTGGTCAGCAGATTGACATCTTGGCAAATCATGCCCATCTCAGGTGCTGTGTGGGATCACAGGCAGAGCAAAAGGAAAGGCACACATACATTGCAGAGCCCAATCAGGCAGCAACGTCAGACCAGTCCCCTCATATCACTCAAATGCGCAGAGCTCACACACAGCCCATGAATGGCTCATGACAATGTGTTCACTCACTGCCTCACAGGGATCCTGGGGATCCCAATACACAAGCAGGTGAAAGTAGAGAAGCAGGTTTCAATGGCTCCCAGAGGACAGCTGACAATGCCTGGAGACATTTTTGGTGCTAACAATTGGGTAAAAAGGTGCTGCTAGCATTCAATGGGTAGAGCGGACCACGCCTGGGACAGCCACCTGCAATAATTCTCTGCCCCAAAATGTCCACGGTGGAGATTGAGAAACTCTGAGGCAGGGAAGCTGGAGATAAAAGGACTCAAACTCAGTTTTCTGGGCAGCTGGAGAGGCCAAGGTGTTTATCCAGGGAAGACTCAGAACACTGAGAGGCAGACATGTGAAGGAAGAGCCATAGGCTGGTGACCCCTGACCCCACCAAGACAAGGCACAGGAGCTGCAGGGTCTGGGCTCAACGCAGCAGAGCAGATCCCAGTCCTCAGAGAATCTGCCAGGCACACAAGGGCCCCTGGCCTGCCCGCCTGCATGAATGACAAACACTCTCTATCCCAGCTGACCAGATCAGGTGTAGGAGCTTAATAGAAGCTGGGCCCAAGGCCTTCCCTAAGAATTCAAAATGGGCTTTGTTTTTCTCAGTCCCCATCTTTCCACAGCTGGACCAGAAGCCTGGCATGTACAAGCTATTTTCTTTTTGCCACTATTTGAGCTGAGCAGCAGAGAAACCCTGAACCCTGTCTGCCCACAGTCCCTAGCTATTTTTAGGCTCAGCCATGTCCCTGGCCAAAGTGAACATGAAACAGCCTTTTCTATCTCTGACGCACTGGATCCCAGTGACAGATATTATTCAGAATATTCACGTTCAGCCAGTACAACAATATTCAGGGCCATGGTCTATGACAACCAGAGTAGAATTCTCTAGGGCTACCAGGGACCTAGCTCTGAGACTTCCTGATCCAGCATCTCTGAAGGCTGCCCCTGAGGGCAAGGGACAGTCAGCAACCTTGCCATTCCTCTCCCTTACTTCTGACAACTCAGGCTCCAAGAATAAGAAAGGCCAAGATACTCATGGCCTCAGTCATGCCTAGAAAACCCTGTCTATGAAGAGGCCCAACCTCTCTCCCAGTTCTAACTCTACAGTACAGACACCATGGGTACCTGAGAACGCTTCCATTTGCCCATGTCTGGAACTGTGTGGATCTCCTTTTTCGGAATGATGAAGTTCTGAGCGCCTGAAGGGGTCTCCTCTGAAGAATCTTTATAAAGATAATGAAATGGCAAATAGGTAATTAGAATCCCTCCCCCACTACATACATACACATGCGTGCTCACTGTTATTTCTCTTTTCTAAACCAAGACTCTAACACCTGACCCTAGCAGAGCCAGACATGCACTTCCAGGACAAAGAAATAACTTATTAAGCCAAACCCACGAGCCTCCTGCCTTCCTCACTCTGCAAAGATAAAAGGCGAGGTGATCCTAGCAACCTGGGAGGTTGAGGTAGGAGAATAATTAGTTTGAGGCCAGCCTAGACAACTCAGCAAGGCCCTGTCTTAAAAAAAAAAAGACTAGCTGGGCACGCTTATAATCCCAGTGGCTTAGGAAGTTGAGGCAGGAGGATCACAAGTTCAAAGCCAGATCAGCAAAAGTGAGGCGCTGAGCAACTCAGTAAGACTCTCTAAATAAAATACAAAATAGGGCTGGGGATGAGGCTTTAGTAGCCATGGCCTGGCCTCCCACTGCCTAACTGGAGTTAGAAAAATAAAACCAAGTTGATACACAGGCAATTTAATGATGGAAAAGAGAAACTCAAATTGCAAACAACATTAGGAAAAAACCCACCAACTCCCAAATAAGCAGAGACCAGTAAATTACCAGTGAGCCCTTTTCCCAAATAGGGCTGGTGGATTAAAACAACTGGCCCTGGACTGGGGAAGGGGAAAGATAGGAACTTTCCTGCATTGTATCAGCAGGAGAGGCAGTCAGTAGGACCCGCTCAGTGGCACTTTGCTGTCTCCTCAAAAGCCAACTCAAGCAGTACCCATGGGACCAACAGCTCCTTACAGCAACCTTCCCTTCAGATGCACTTGTCAAAGAGACTGAGGAACACACAAAGGCACTTACTGCACTGAAAAAAACTTGGAAATAACCCAAATATCAATCAATAAGGTGATGGGTAAACAAGGATATGACCACATAATGGAAATATTCAAAGCTTTTAAAAGGAAGAAAATCTATATTATGGGCCTAGGAAAGGCAGCCTAGATATTAAAAAGTAAAGAGAAAATTGCAGTATGTGGGCTGGGGCTATGGCTCAGTGGTAGAGTGCTTGCCTTGAAGCACAGGTGAGGAGGCACTGGGTTTGATCCTCAGCACCACATATAAATAAATAAATAGATAGAAAGATAGATAGATATTGTGTCCATCTATAGCTAAAAATATTTAAAAAAAAAAGAAAATTTGCAGCATGTTATATTTAGCATGATCTCATTTTCATAAAAACATTTACACATCCTAACATAAATAACACACACACATATTAGTATATGAATCGAAAAAAACCTAAAGGGTTAAACACCAAAGTTACCAATAGTCGCATCTAGGAGATGCGATATAAAGGATTTCCATTTTCTAAGTTACATATTATGGGGTTTTTTTTGGGGGGGAGGGGCATTCCCCCCCCAGGGAAAATCCCAGCCCTTTTTTGCATTTTACTTAGAGACTGGGTCTTATTGAATTGCTTAGAGCCTTGCTAGACTGGGTCTTATTGAATTGCTTAGAGCCTTGCTAAGTTGCTGAGGCTGGCTCTGAACTCACAATCCTCCTGCTTCAGCCTCCTGAGCCACTGGGATTACAAGCATGCACTACTGTGCCTGGCCTACATATTACTTTTAAAAACAAGCATACAGCACTTTTGTAATCCAAAAAAAGCCACAATTTTAAATAGAAATTTGTATTTTCAGAGGTTGGGGGAAGGAAAACAGGGGAGCACAATGTGCCAAACCAGAGGCACACCTCACACTAAGCCACAGAACACCCTCCGCTTTGGGACGTTGAGAAACATGAGCTGCAAATCTTCATTCAGAATTCCAAAATCCAAAGATGTCTGGAAACCCAAAGGTTTTCTGTTTTTTTTTAAATGAGTTTACCACAAGCTCAGTTGGAACAAAACTTAAGGAGATATGAGGACACTTAGAGGCTTTGTGTGGCCCACTTGGTGAGGGGATTCATACATTTTGTGGAAATAACCATTTGGTTTGGGGTACAGCTTTCTTAAACATGAGAAACTGAATGCCAAAGCACAGCTTGCAGCAGGATTGGTGAGGGGATGCAGGCCCAGACCCACGACTGGAGAGGGCAGTGAGCTGCTGGCGCTTCCTTCAGAGACACGGCCCTTGAGAAGAGGGCTACCACTCAACACAGCATGAATCCCCCTTCTAAGATCCAGCTGCAAGTACCTGCATGAAGGGATGGGGAACTAGGAAGGTTCTGGAACATGTGACATTTGGGAGAATAGACCCTGCCTGGAGAGGCCCTGAGGAAAGGAAAAGTGCCAGGAGATTTGGAGACCTGAGGGGGAAGGACAGAGAACCCAAGAACAAGAAGACAAGCCTTGCAGCCTCTGCCTAACTCAAGTCAAACCAGGGCCCCAGGAAAAGACCAGCTCTTCCTCCTCCCACCTGTCCTGTAAGCTTGTTTCCCAGAGCCCCAAACTGAGGCCCCGCACAACTAGCAAATTGCTACTTTAAGTATGATGCCAAATAAAAAGTTTTGTAGGCTAGGCTGGTAACCCAGGTTTCTATGGGAAATGTGTTCCACCTTCAACCAACCAACTTGCAAGCCATCTTTGGGAATTGAGCCTTTGTAGACTTTCTCGGCAAGAAATAGCCCTCCTGGCTGTTTCACAGGGAGGAAGGAGCCTGGCCCCATCTCCACCAGCAAAGGCTACCTTTAGCAGACGCAATGAAAGGCACCACTGGTGAAACGCCCGGACCCTAAATTTAAAACACAAGCTTTCTGTGGGCACAGTGGCACACACCTGTAATCCAGCAGCTCTGGAGACTGAGGCAGGAAGATTTAGAGTTCAAAGCCAGCCTCAGCACTTTAACAAGTCTCTAAGCAACTCAGCGAGAACCTGTCTCTAAATAAAATATTAGAAAAAGGTGGGGATGTGGATCAGTGGTTAAGTGCCCCTGGGTTCAGTCCCCAGTACCAAAAAACGAAAGACTTAAAGAAGTGTGATGAATGAGGGATCTCTCTCCAGGCCCTGAATGAAAGAGGACAAAGGGGACGGTGAATCCCCTATGACCTCAAGAGTACAAGATGGCAAGCAACATCTAGGGTTTTTAGAGATGTTCCTAAAAAGCCCCCAGGAGCATAGTGGATTATCATCCAGCATTTGGGAACAGGTCTACATGTTCAACCGGTCCAAGTCTGAGAAGCTTATCAGCATCAGCGTTCACTGACTACCCACCGTAGTGAGTTTTTTGCTCAGTCTTTTGACTGAACACACATTACTCCCTGAAGAAAGCGCAGTATCCTCATTTTAACAGACAACTGAGGCTCACAGAGACTGTGACTTGCCAGGCCAGAGCCAGGACTATGTGATTCCAAACTCCCAAGTTTTCACCCCTGCACTAAGCAGAAATTCTTTCCGCTTGATCCAGAAACTCCTGTTTCAAGCTTCAAAAAGGGCAACCTCCAAGAACCTGGATCTCTCTAGGAGCCATAGATAACCTCCTGAGCCATCCTGTCTAAGTCCACAGGTTCTCTTCCCCCACCATCTTCAGAGACACATACATCTCACTGACAATTCTGGTTGCTTCATGTCTCATATCTCCTGCTGTCATGCCCAGAAAACCCGGAGTGATATCTCATATCTCCAGCCGTCATCGCTAGATGACCAAAAAGAATATCTCAGCTCCTAATGCCATCACCAGAACTTATAAGGGCACATGTCCACAGAGGGTTTTGTATAAATTAATGTCTTTTTTTGAATTTCCTAACAGACAAACCAGCACTCTGCTCATCTATTTGGGGAAGCAGAGAGGATACCTCCTCTGATTTTCAAAATTTCTTCCTGAGACCTTCCCAGGGACCAAAAACATGTGTGGCAGGACATACAGAATATCAAATGCCTTCAGAACATTAGTTGTGTTTGGATTACCTATTTGCTTCTGTTAGACTTCTAAGTTACCTATGGCCTGTCCTTCTCAGTTAAGGGTAGAGTCAGCCAACAGCCTTCTCCAGGTGAGGGATGGACAGAAGGGCCTTCCCTAGATCCCTCCGGATCTCTGTAAGGAGAGGTTTTTCCTAGGCTTCCCTAGCGCGGTCCCTCATCTCCATCCCAGTTATTTGAGATTAACTAAAAAGAGGCCAAGGTGTAAATAAAAGTTACAGTAGGTGACGCCATAGACTCTCAGCTCCTGGCACAACCAGCCTTTTTAAATTAGTGGTTTAGACACCAAGGACAGTTTCTCTCAATAAATTCCCAGACACTGAAACCCCGGTGCCCTGCCTCCAAGGAGAGAGGGAAGGAGGACGAGAGACAGCAGGGCGCGGGGAGGCTGAGACGGGGCAGGCAGGCCCAGGCCATCGAACAGGGCCCCACAAAGAAAGCGGCGGCCCGAACCCCTTCCGCCCCGATCCGCGGCAACTTTCCCCCCAGGCCCGGAGCTCGCTTAAGCACGCGCTGCCCAAATGCGGGGAAGACCGCCTCCGCTGGCCCCGCGCTGCGTCCCGGGCTCCGCGTCCCGGTTGTGCCGCACCCGCGGCCCTGGGGACCCCCGACTCCCGTCCTAACTGGACCCCCAACTCCTGTGTCCCCTGAGCCCCCGACTCCCGGCCTCTCTGGCTCCCCAAATCCTGTCCCCCTGGGTCCCGACCTCGTCCTGCTGGAACCCCCGACTCCGGTCTCCGCCGGGTGCACCCCGGC